TAATGCAAAATTGCCAAACTTCTACAAACTCTGCGCCCATCAATCATGCATGATTGATGCATGACTGATGCCCCATGTGGCACCGCGCCGGGCCCCACATGTCGCGTCATATCCCCCTACTATAATTTTTATACTAACACTATTAATTTTTTAGAAAAACTTAATTAATTTCAAAAATTAAAATTAATTTTATCTTTTTAAATAATTAATATATATTTAATAGTTAATTATATCAATAATTCAATATAATAATAATTAAACTGGTTCAAATCTGTTTATAATAACAACAATATTTTTATATTATAATAATTAAAAAATTTTTAATTAATATAATGATTCCAATATTACATTTATATAAAAATTCTGAACTTTTTATATGTTTTATTTAGTTTTTAATTAGTTATACTATAGTTTCATAGGTTTAAACAACAATTTTAAAATCCAATTAATAAAATTTTAATAAAAAAATATCACAAAAAAATTTTTTAATTAAGATATTTATAATTACAATATTATAGTCATATAAAAATATTAAGCTTTTTATATATTTTAATTAGTCTTTAAACAGTTATTAAATAGTTTCATAAATTTAAATAATAATACAAAAATTTATTATCAATATAATAACAAATTAAACTTATTTTTATAATTTATAAATTAAACAGTAAAACTAAAACTCAAACCAATTATATTTTATTTTAATAATTTCAATAATTACATTTTTTATTTTAAAAATCTTTTTAAATTTAAAAAAAAAAATTTTATTAACAATAACAATAATCTAATTATTTATAAATTAGCATTAACTATTCATAAATTATTAATAATTTATTTTCATTTACTTGATGCTCTTTTACATTAGAGGTTCTATATGTAATAGATTAGAAGTAACTTTTATAAAGAAGTGAGATAGAATTCTTAATATAATGAAAATAAAATTAAGTTTACTAAATGTCTTGTACTTAATGCTTATTTGAAGTATAAAAAAAAAGAAATAATGTTTTTCTACTCAAAAAAAAAAACAAAAAAATAATAATAAATTCTAAGTATAAAAAATTTAATTGATTTGTTTTTTATTTTAATTTTTGTATTTTTAATGATTTTTATAAGTATATATTCTTATTAAATTATTATAATTTTTATAACTATCAATAAAAAAACAAATAAACTTGATAATTTAATAATATATTTTTTTTTGTTAAATTGGTTTTCAAGTTGCTTTATCTTATTTTTACTATATTTCATCATAATTTTGATTCAATTTAAATTTATTTAATAAAATTTTGAATTTGACCAAAAAATTTTCAAACCAATTAAACATACATTATACACACTTTAATATTTATAAAGGTAATTGTTTATTATTAATCAATAAAAATAAAAATAAAATTTCAATTTTTAAAAAGTGATAAAAATAATTAAAAAAAAAAGTTTTTTAAATAAAATATTTATAATAAAATGGCAAACCTGATATTTAATAAAAATTCGTTATTTTCAAATTTGAATATACTGTATATGTTCTGCGTCATTTTTCAATATATGTTAATTATTAATTAACATGTGTCATTTATAAATTAAAAAATCACATATGTCATTTTAAAATCGGTATATATTCACCGATTAATAATAAAATTTAGATTAAAAAAAGAAAAGCGAAAAAAAATAAGCTTAATTTATATGAATATAACTAAGAATTTTTACATTCACCACGTAAAACACATCCACATCTTCTTGAACACAATAAATTATTTTTTTTACAAGAACAAGACTTAGTACTGCAATTTGTTTTCTATAACGGCAAGAATCCTGATGAGTATTTTGACTTGAACCAATAATATTATGATTCGCAATACTAAAATTATTAAAAATTATATAGTTAATAAATTATCAAAATTTAAATATATATTTATTACTTACTCTGTATTTACTGATTTATTATCTTGAATATTATAAGTTGAACGTATAAGATTTTGTCTAATACCTGCCTCTCTTAATAAAAGTGTATTATTGAGTGATACAATATTAAAATCTGGATAATCAAGAGTACCTAATGGTTCAAGCTCATTTGCTGAATACCAATTGTTAAGAATACCAAATTTGCAACCAACTTGATAAGAATCATGATTTGATTTTTTTTGAAGAATTTTGCATGGTTGAGATCTTCGATCCATCTTTAATTTGTTGATAGTAGGAATTCGGATTTTCACTAAATTATCAGGTTTGTAAATTCGACTTTGTTTGGTTTTATATCTTGATTTCATTTTAAATTTAATAAAGTCATGATTTCTTTTAATATTTAATTGAGCAGCATGACGAATAATTTCATGTTTTGGATGTATAGGTCGGGTTGAATTTGTAATATCATCTAATGGTGTTCTAGACTAAAAATATAAATTTAAATAAATATTTTATATAAAAAAAAAAAAAATAAATAAATACCTCATTTTTTGTTTTATTTTGAAATTCTATATTTTCAATTTCCATTATTTCTAATGGTTCAATAGAAGTAGCTTGCCATTTTCCCTTTTCAACAGTACTATATCACCTTTCAACTGTTTCTTCAATTTCTTGAATATTAATATTATCAGATTCAATAATTTCATTATTGTAATTTGATATAATAGTCATTTCAGAATTATTTTCAGAATTATTAAAATTTGAATTTTCTGATTTAGAATCATCCATTTCGGAATCTTCTAATTCAAAACTATTTAATCTAGAATTTTCTAAATTTTTTAATTTAAAATAATTAATTTAGTATTTTTATATTTAAATTGTTTAATTTAAAAATTTTTGTTTCAATACCTTTTGTAATAAAACTTTCTAATTTATTTTTGCAATTATCTTCTGTTGTTAAAATATTACTCATATTTGTTTCATTGTGAGGAAATTGTCCGAATATCATATTATAAGGTATTGTTTTATGAAAAGAACAGTATTGATTATTCATTGCCCCTATAAATAATTTATTTAAATTTTAAAAATTAAATTAATATAAATAAATAAATAAATAAATAAATAATACTTACAAATAATATATTTTAAACCAAGACTCCAATCATTTTTACCCGTTTCTTCCATCCAAGAACCAAGTTTTACTTGAAGAATATCATTTCCTTTTTCTACAAGACCTTGACATTGTAGATTTCGAGGACGACCATAAACCATTTTTATTGTAGGCCAAAAACTTAACATTTGTTTAAAGGTATTACCAATAAATTCTTCACCATTATCAGTATGAAGAATTGCAGGAGGACCATATATAAAACAAAAGTTAAGAAATATTGCGGCAGCTTCTTTAGCTAATTTAGATTGAGCTTGTTCTGCATAAGAAAATTGACTAAAATGATCTCTAATATGAAAAATATATTTATATTCTCTATCAGGAATAGTCGTCATATCAATTGTATCGATCTATTATAATATAAAATTATTAATTAATATATTTATTAATTTATTTATTAAAATTAATATACATACTTGAACATGATTTAAAAAACCTTCAGAAACAATAGGACACATTGGTGGAATTCGTTTAGAAGTTCGTCGAGTAATACATACTTTACATTCACGAACTATATCTTCAACTAACTGTTGAGGAATATAACAATATCTGACACGAATCTAATAAAAAATTAATTTTAAAATTAATTTTATTTAAGAGTATATTTATTTAATTACTTACCTTTTTTCAAGTTTTTTCTTGACCTCCATGTTCTGTTGCCTGATGTGTGGTACAAATTACTTCATAAAAATTTTCAACATAACAAACTTGTGTTCCCAAATTGATTCTATCTTGTTTAAGTATATGTAATTCTTCTGTTGTACCAATATAAATAATTTTAAACGTATTAATCACCCAATACTTAAATGTCGGATTGCATTGAATATTTGGATTTTTCAAAATATTCAAGCATTCATCATAACGACTTCTATTCATCAAACTTCGATTATTCTTTCTTTTGTTAATAAGATTCTCTAATATTCGATCAAAGATTTCCCGGGTTACGAAACTATATTCTTGCAAATCCATGTTAAAAAAAAAATATTAAATTAAAGTAAAAAAAAAAGTATTGATTTAAATATATAACAGAAAAAACTACGTAAATTTAATATGTAATTAATAAATAGTCTAAATTATGAATCATCTTGAGTCATTTATCAATCGGTGAAAATTTATAAATGACACATGTTAATTAATAATTAACATATATTGAAAAATGACGCAGAACATATATACAGTATATTGAAAATAATATTGGTTACTAAATGAAAAAATCAATAATAAATTTTTTACATGTTTATTATTAGTTTGTGATATTGTGTCTGATACTGTATGCCAATATCAAAATGAAAAATTTGATATTGATATTATTATTATTATTTCTTTTTAAAAAAATTTATTATAAATAATAATAATAATAATAATAATAATAATAATAATAATAATAACCAAATTTAACCGTGACACCAGACAAGTCGTACAACCAGCCATTTATAAAGTAATAGTTTAAAATGAAGATACTGTATCTTGGAAATTCGGGCTTTTGTAATTAAAGATATATGTTCTCGTTATAAAATTTAGAAAAATGAAAATAAAAAGATCATTAAATTATTAAAAGAAAAATTATTGCACGGATAAATCTTTTAAATTGAGTGAAAAAACCAAGTTTTTAGGTGATATACATCATTTAAAACCTTTCAACTAGCGGTAAAACAAATCGTATCGGGAAAAGAGTTGAATTTAATGTGAATCGTAAATTTTAATTAAAGCACGTTTCAATTCATAAAATTTTGGTAATTAGGAAGCGGAAACCGTTGTTAAGCACGGAGTTTACAAGTTTACAATGTGTGTCGATTGGAGCCCATGATTTTATCGACTCAATTCTTGAGCGAGGGAACGCGGACATTTTTTATCATATTGCGTAGAAAATACAGTATACTTACGCTTCGGACTAAATAAATATTCGACGAGATGACAGTCATGATAGATACTTTGCAATAAAAATAAACATTTGTTATGCTAAAATTTATTAAGTGGATGTCAGAATTTCAGTATAAAGTACATGTCTATAAACCTAGGGTCGTAAAATGAAAAATGAAACGGAAATGATGTTACAGTATTTACAAATTAAAAGTGAATCAAAGTCAATAGTTAGAAATAAGAGGTCCGTAAGAATATATAATATGGTAGCAGGGATAAGTAGAACTTAACAATTATGTTGGAAAAAGAGCAACAGAAAGAAAAAAAAAAGAATTATTCTATTCAATCTAAGGTAGATGAACGAATATAGGAAAAAGTGAGGGTCGAAAGATAGAAAGTTCGTCTTTATGAAATGAACTGAATGTACGTATGTGAAAGCTTTCCTTCGTCACCACACATGCTACCCCTTTCAACACTACAACGGGATGTGCACCTCTTAATACAAATTATAATGTTCGCTACACGTTGCGCTATTTCTTTTCTTGTCGCTTTTCTTTACAAAACTCTCGGAAAATCTTTTGGAATTACCGTTAGTATTTAAGTACACTCCGTTGACGTAATTCTGCTTGTAAAAATTTGGGTCTTTTTGCTCGAATTCATGGGTTGCCGTCGACCTACGCCGAGTATATTTATTTATTTTCCACATCTCATAATGATACTTGACTTTAGTGAGCAATGTCATCTTGGACGGACGAGTTTTGCGTGTTAATAATAATTCAGAAAAAAAAAAGAGTCACTTCTGACGTCAAATAAATTGTTTGTGTGAAGATGAAAGTAACAAATTTGTTTAGGTAAAAATTTGCTAAAGCAATACTAGTAATGTCGAAAAAAGCGTCGTCAAGATGAAATGAGACGCAGTTTGGGAAAAAAAGAAAGTAACGATGAGAAGCTCCAAGAGGTGAAAGTGCCAAAAATGCATCCTCGTGAGTTCATTAAATTTAAAATCGTAAGCCAAATCATAACACAAATTCAATTCTTCGTGTATCCATCCAATGTACAGTACTTTTTCTTATTTACATTTATTTAATGTCACAATGAATATCCAACCTTAAATATTACAGCTTTCTAACAAGTGAATGTGGCAGGCTATACGGTGAGTATGCTGCAAACTCCGACCAGAGTTCAGTGCGACCTGCAATAGGAGAAAATGACCGTGTGCGCATTACTCTGTTTCTTTAATTTAGCCATTCGTTTCACTTTTACCATTCTGTCCTAATGTCAAACATGCTTTTAAAACTGCCAAACTGCCTATCGCTATGTTGACTGTCGTTTCTGCTAGTTTCAGTTCTCGCGGAACCGATCGTCAGCCGCGGGACCTCGAGGACGATCGTTGGTCACGTTACGCGAAAATCGCGCGCACGAATTACTAAAAATACTGATATTCTTATATTCGAACTTTCGATCGTCAAGGAAAATCGAAGTAATGTTCTAACGGGTTAATGTTCTTTTAAAATGTATATCACTGAGTGCAAAAAAATACCGTTTTTGTGATCACCTTCAATGCATTTGATGCTCGATGGTCTTTTAAATCTTTAATTAGCATATCATCCCTAGACATTCTAAGTTGCTTATGTGATTTACCATGTGCCTGGTACACAGCTTGTACGTTTGAGTTTTGATGTTTCGAGATTTAGGTCGTGTCGCCATTTTATTTTTACCGATTCCCTATTCTTTTTTTTTGTTACCTTTTCAGTTCTTAATAATAAAATAAATCCGAATACTATTGTATCTACATTGATTTCACAATGCACTTATAGACCTTCTGCTGATACACTATGGAATAAGAACCATTCGTCTTTCGGTAGAATTCACGCCAAACATATGTCCAAAGGATGGAATTCTTTCTTCCGACTTACTGTACTTATCATCACGTGATCGGAATCAAATAGTACTGTACTGTACTGTATATATTATAATTAATTCTAATTTCTTTTTCTAAAATAATATCCTTTCTCTTTTTCCGAACAAATATATAATTATGTTTGTAAAAATCCGTTTATTTTCAAAGATTTTTATTAAACATACCGAGCAATAAAATAACATTTCTTTCATACCCACATTGTATTGATGCAATAAACGATTCACAGATTCCTGATTTTTTATGACGTGGTTGGCTACTTAATAATATAAGTATAAAATGCATACATTTTCTTACGCACCCCATGAAAATAAAAATAAAATTTCAATGATAAAGATTCTGTGCAATATTAGCAATAAATATATATGTTAATTATGCCGATGTCATTATCCTAAAATAATTATCAATTTGTTCTTTAAAAGCATATTCTCCGATAGTTATTTGACCGACTAGTGTAATTTAGGTAAAAAAACTAAAAACTAAAAAGTAATATGGTGATTGCTTCCGAGGTAACTACGTACGCTGTATGCTTACATAAAATCGTTCGTATTTCATTGGTCAAGTCCTATTTATGGAAGTCTTAAAATCCATGCATTCATTCATTCATTCATTCATTGACAGCGTGACTCAAAGAGAGCGCTTATGGTCTCATTCATAACTTTAATGGCACAAGGCAAGATGTGGCTTTTCTCATCTCACTTGTGAGATTCATTAAATTTGGATTTAACGGTTTTTCCCTTTTTTTTCGATATACCGTTAACACTCAATCCTAAGGTGTTTGGATTAAAGACGGTAGCGCAAAAAGATGGTGAAATCAAACGTGGACATTTATTGGTTTCTAATGATTGGAGTTCTTCATAACATTATTCATTTATTTATTTAAATTAAAAGTATGCACGTACATGCGTGTTTTGTTTGTACGTACAGACGTAAAATCTCTCCTGATTGTGTGACACGTTAAAAATTCAAAGATTGTTCAGAGATTTGGGAAGTGTGCTGTTTATAACGACGCCTTGTTAATTGAAATCAAACCAGTTTGGCTAATAAGAATCGTCGTACTAAAAGAAAAAAAAATTTTTTATGTTTCCTTCTAAATAAATCAAAGACCGTTACCTACCATGCAATGCATTGCATGTTACACGGATTTAAGGCTTACTGAAACGTTATCTACATTTGGATGGATACACGAAGAATTGAATT